GTATTCATATTCAGACACAGAGACGTAGAGTTGATCCACTTTATTGTTGAGTCCGCGAACATTCTGATAATATTCCTTAGATATGGGAAAAATGTTGATTTTTCAAAAAAAAAATGCAATCCTACAGAAATTAGTTATAAACCTGAGTTTCAATAATAAATTGAAAAATAAATATCTGTTACTTGCGTTCATCGTCGTGATGTTAGAACACGCATTAATAATTTATTGTAGCAAATGTTGTACCTACCAAACAACTGACGAAAACAAAATACTAGGAATTTTTTGTTTTTTCATACTGATAAGAACGTGTAAATAAGGTTTAATCTGTATCGTGGGTGATCTGAATGAAGAACGGTCGATTTTTGTGAAGTTAAATAAGAAAGTATTTTGAACGTTTATGTTTTTAGTTATTTGATAATAAAAATGACAGATGTCTACACTAATGAGGAGTTAGTGGACATTGTTTTAGTGTTCGGAGAAGCGGGACAAAATTCGCGAGCGGCTTCTCGAGAATTTTATTGTCTCGATTTCTGTAGGACTTACATTTTTTTTGAGAAATCAACTTCTTTCATAACACTGCATATGTGGTTAAAATTTGTCGGATAAGTCGTGAAATACCCTGTATAATGAATAGATTTTATTTCTCTTTCAAATTCGTATTTCACTTTACCCTCTCAGAGTAATTATTTTTTAAATGGTATATTCTGAGCTGCCTTCCGAGTGCTAGATAAAATGAACAATAAAACGGAAAAGGATGTGATGTAGAAAATATTTCTACCCTCGGTAACTCTATGACCACAATCGATTTTTACTGTCCAGCGTCCAGCTATATAAGCACTTAAAAAATACAGGACCGCCTTCTGACATTTGCCTTTTTTGTACTTGAACCGCCACAAAAGAATAAACACTCGTGGGTACTGCGGGGTTAAAGGAGGATACAGGTGACCTTTCACCTGTGCGTCAAATGTATGAAAAAGTGTAGTGAGATCCAAATAATTCTTTGTTTGTTTATTTTCAATGTTAGTCAAAGTTCTTCTACTAGTAACAATTCTTATGAATAAACTTAAACAACAGATGAAATGGAAAAAAAACAGCAATTACTAATTAAATTCATACAGGGTGCAACTCACCTCACATATAGTTTATTCACTGAATCAAAGCAGTTACGTCTTAACGTCAAATAATGACAGTGACGCACATGGTTGCCACATTAATTAAAACTACTAGATCCTAGGACGTTTTACAAAATATACTTAATGTCTTCGATGCCTTACTGCAACCAATAGATATTACGGAGTGTATGTTTCGTAAGCACTAGAGCTAGTATAATATCTATTTACTACCTAATACCTCTCTTACGGACCGTAAAGGCAATAATGGAGCTCCATGATCTCGTTCGGTCTCTAAATATTTGGTCACAGAAATAACGAATTATTTTGCTTGTCGACCCAGAGGACACCTCAAAGATTTGAAAAAAACTGTTAAATAAAATTACAATGCAAATATTCAGGCAAAAAACTGAAATAAACCGTAAATAAACAACAGCCGTTCGCGTAATTAACTGTCAAGCTTTGCGACAATGTCACAACACAGAAAACTGTTGCCGACATAAATGAACCCGGGAAATTGAAACTATACGTACCAATTTAGTATATATTTTGCGTTAAGGTTGGCATTCAAATTCACTAAATATGACGTAACAGCTTTGTTTCAGTGAATAAACCATGCATAGGTAATTACTCTGGCCGTGATATACCTATGGGGATAAGCTACCAGAGAAAATTTGTAGGCTTAATTGCTTGTCATCTAATACGTACAAATATAAACCTGCCGCATTTGTATCCAATTATACTGTGAGTTCTTCTATATGATTTCACCATCAATTAGCCCATTCTAACTGAAGATAATCAAACTAATAGATACTATATTTCCGCGACCGAAAAATCATCCGAGATCAAATATCACAGCTATCATTGTCCTCTCCGCAATAATTAGAAGTCTAGTTTGAAAACGTTAGAGTCTCATAGATAGTGTAACGCTTCCTTTCCGCAAAAAGTCCAGAAAAGATGGAATGCAATGAAGATTCCAACTTTTCTGCACAATCACAGAAAGGGGGTTACCATTAGCTTCCGGTAGCTCAGTCGGTGGCATGAAGACATCTACAGGCGTGTAGCTGTGTGTCGACCATGGCATGGCTAGAGGATAGAAGAACAAACAGAACACAAAAATTTAACAGATTTTATTTAACAAAAAAAGCATTTTCATTACATTACAATTTTAAAGTTTTAAAGAACAAAATAAGTTTTACATCTTTGGCGCTGCTATAAAACTATCAACTTATCTTTCGCTGGTCCATTTTGACTTTACTGAAGCGACGATGGCCAGGTGCTTGAAGTGGAGGTCCCAGTTATGAGGGGTGACCTCACATATAGTGGCTTCAAAACCAGTTGCAGGCGAAGTTGAACTTAAAGGCGATGGCGCTGCCAAGGCACATGCATGGGTGAAGTGATAGGCCAAGCAATGCAAAGTCAAAGACTAAGGCAAAAGCAAAGTCAAAGACAAAGGCAAAGGGAAAGGGAAAGAGAAAGGGGATGGCCCCAATCATTTTGTCCTATACGGACACACATTCTACAAAATTCTAGCACATGGTGCTATATGACCTTGTGCTACAGAGAAGAAAATTCTTAGCTCTTGTTCGATCGGCGGCTCAAGTGAAAAGGAAGCGCGAGGAAGATCGCAGATCAGGAACTCCGCATCAAGCGCTCCAAGCGGAAAATTTTCCAAGCAAAAAAGCTAGAGATGGGATTAATGAAATGATAATCGAGAAGTGATTCAATAAATACGATCGGACGGTGAAACCGTTACAATAGGGCTGTGGCTATATACTCATATAGGGGGTGTCGCATCGGGAAATTCATCGATAGATTTCTCGAAATGTAGTATAGTAAAATTTGGGAGTATACTAACGTCGATGGGGCTACGGCAGCTAAAATATTTTCAAGATGGTGGCGGTTATACCGGAAATTGATGCCAACTTGCTTATTTTAAATTGGACACCCTGCATATTACTCAATATTTGAATTCTACATAAAATTCTAACCACATTTCATGTATAATCTCTTATACCCAAGTCTAACCGTTTTTGACATATTTCAAATTTTATGTCAAAAATGACGTTTGCAGGCCCTAAAACAATTGTTCATTTCCCCCTATGTAAAACATCTTATTGTTCAATGTGGATCGATTTTCTAGTAAACAGGGATATAGTTTAATAGACCTTGTATGATATTTCGAAAATTATTTATACAGGGTGGTCAAAAAAATTAGAATAAAAATGGAATGTAAAAAATTGCCATTCTTTCAAATGAAAACCCCCTATTTTTATAAGTTTATCGCATCAAGCGTTAAACATTAGCATATCTTTATTACAGGGTTATCTGTCCCAAAAATGTTTGCTATTCGAGTAATTTGCAATCTATTACTTTTCTATTGTAAACCTCCTCTATAAGTACAGATTTAGTTTTTTGATTAGTTAGCTATGACGGCGGGACGCGGAGAACAAACAATTAATTGCGCTCAACAAAAATGTGACTTTATAATAATGTCCTGCATTTGACAGTATTATACTTATAAATTATTAATAAAAATCATACCCGCGCGTTTAAATGTCACTTACGAAGATTATTTCGATTTATTTATTATTTATGGTGAATGCAACAGAGTGATATCAAGAACATGTGATGTGTTTGCTCATAGATATCCAGAAAAAAGAAGACCGAACGCACATACGGCTAAACGAGCAATAGATAATTGAAAAAAATGTCGGTTGTGTGAAGCCTAAGGTTCAAAGAAATAAACCTTTATTTAACGATGAAGCCATTGGAATAGAAGTTTCGGGGTATTTTTATGCTATTCCAATGATGTCTTTACGACAAGCTGCACGAGAGGCAGGTTTTACAAAAGATACCATTAGCAGAATTTTGCACAAACACAATTTTTATCCATACAAGCTATCATTAGTCCAACAATTAAAAGAAACCGTTTTTTTTTTAAAGAATTCAATTTTGCGAATTGATTATGACAAGGTATCAAGAAAATGATTCTTTCCTGAAAAATATTGTATGGTCAGATGAAGCAAAATGTACCAAAAATAGCCTTTTTAATCGACACAATTCTCAATATTGGGCTAATGAGAACCTTCATGTAATAAGAGAAAGAAACTTTCAAGACAATTGGCAATTCAATGTACTCGTATACTGCACTGTCAGAGATAATCAAGTTGTCTCTCTACAGTTTTATGAAAATTATTATTAGTAATATATAGTCGTCAACTTATCTATCAAAAAAATACCTGATCCTGGTATATACGCAAAGTGTGAGAAACATCGTACCCAATCTTCTGGAGAAGTAACCATACAAGAGATAACACCAGTAAGTACTTACAGAAACGTTAGCAGCTCTTCCGAGGACGAACCAAGCATTTTCGGTCATTTTTCTTTAACCTCTCCCGAAATTGTGTCACAAAAGTCACATTTTTGTCAAGATATATCAACTTTCAACCTGGCCTATACATAGGGTGTTTATCCGATATGACTAGACGAAAAAAGAAGGATGAAGAAGAGCAACAAGAAGATAAAGATGAAAGTTATTTATCCAAGAATAATGCAAATACTACTATAGAGCAAGAAGTACAGTCTCTGAAGAAGCTATTAGAAACAAAGAATGAAATAATTTTAGATAAAGAGAGGTATATCAATCAATTAGTTAATGAGAACAGACGTTTACAGGAGCATTATGAATTGATCATTAGCAGTATAGTGGATAAAGAAACCATAATCACTTCTTTGGGGAAAATAAATGAAAGAGTTGAAAAAATAGAAGCTACTACCTCATACACTCGTTGTAATGATGTAATTAAATCATATAGTGGAGCTGTAAAAGAGTAAAAAAAAAGCAGAGATGAGAAGATTGTAGATAAAGTTAATAATACACAAAAGTTGATGATAAAAAGTACGAACAAATCAAACTCTAATGTGTTGGAAGATTTGAAGAAGAGCATTGATCCAGCTAAGTCAAATATCTGTGTGAACTCTGTGAGGAGGGTGAATAATGGCATCATTCTTAGCTGCGAAAATGAAGCATCATTATCCAAGCTGATGGCGAGTATACAGGGAGAACTCGGTGCGAACTTCACTGTCAATGAGATCCAGAAATATCGCCTACGCATGGTGATAAATAATGTAGAATGCGCCTACACAAAATCTGAGGGATTAATCGAGAAGATCTTGTCCCAGAATGAATTTGGTATTTTCAGTAGTGAGGATATAAAAACTGTAACCACTTTCAGATGTTCCGAATCTACTTTAAATGTTGTCATTGAAGTTAGCCCAAAATTTACAAAAACGTTGCTAGATAGAGGTCATATATACATGGGTTGGCAAAGATGTCCTGTGCGGGATTATGTACGAATTGTACGCTGCTATAAATGTTCAGGTTTTGGCCACATGGAAAAAATTGCATACATTCTAAAGTATCATGTCCTTTATGTGCTGGAGATCATTTGGAAAAAAATTGTAAATCTGCTTTTAAGAATTGTTCAAACTGTATGAATCACAATTCTAAATTGAACACTCAATTTGATACTAGTCATTCTTCTAAAGACTTAGATTGTCCAACTTATAAAAAACATGTTACATACTTGAAATCTAGAATTGAATATGAATAGTGATAAATTCAAGGTTTTAAAATTTGGTCATATAAACTGCAGATCAGTTTTATCAGGATTTCATGAATTTAGTACACTGGTTCAAAACAACAACCTTGATATTGTTGGAATATCGGAAACGTGGCTATCAAAAGATATATCTAATGACCATATAAGTATGAATGGATACAACTGCTATCGCTGTGATAGAGATGGGCGAGGTGGTGGGGTTGCAGTCTTTGTAAACAACCACTACAACTCTTCCATAATTTCATTTGGGCAAGGCCCAAGTCTTGAATATATATGGCTGAAGGTGCAGCTTCCAAAACAAAAAATTGCTATTGGTATATTCTATCGGCCCCCACATAGCTCTGTTACAGAAGCCGGTAATACCTTTGATAACATGTTGCCTGCCATATTAGCTGAATATGATGATATCATCCTTTCAGGGGATATCAATGTTAATTTGCTTTTAGTTTGTAACAGCTTGACTAAATGCCTTGATTCTTATAATCTGAAACAGGTGATATCTGAACCGACTAGAATAACTGAATCGACACTCACTCTCTTAGATCCTATTTATTTGAGCAAGCCTGAAAGTTGTCTTAGGAGTGGCACTATTAATGCTGATATGATTACTGATCACTATTTAACCTTCTGTGATATACGTATTGCACTTCCTAAAAATCAACAGAAATTTGTGACATTCAGGGATTTCCATAGTTTAAATGAAATAGCGTAAGATCTCAAGAGTTTTCCATGGTGGCATATTATATCGATAGATGACATTGTATTCAAGCAGAGGGCTGAAGCTTTGTCAAAGTTCAAACGTGATCGTACAGCCGCCTCTTGGCAACAGTATACATATTTCAGAAATCGTGCATTAACGCTCGTGCGAAGAGGAAAAAGAGATTATTTACAAGCTGTTCAAAATCAGGATATAAAAAAGTTTTATAAGACCCTAAAGACTTTCAAAGTACAATCTCAGAAAGATTCTACAATTCCCGTGAGCTTGTCAGATCCGTATAAAATAAATGAGGCATTCATTTCAATTTTCGAGAATAGTGATTTGGCTTGTGCTGATAAAATTGCATATTACCGAGCTAATAAAAATAACTTAAAATTCAAATTTCAATTTAATAAAGTGACTATTGACACCGTTGTTAAAATTATACATAAAATAAAATCAAATTCTAGTGGTACAGATGAAATAACTTTGCATATGATACTACTATGTATACCTGAAATTGATGTGTACTTAACGCATATTATAAATTGCTGTTTAGAGAGGGGATATTTCCCCAATCAGTGGAAACGCGCTGTAGTTATTCCGCTACCTAAGTGTTCTGACCCTACTAACTATGGTCAACTGAGACCGATCAGTCTACTGCCAATTTTTTCTAAAGTATTGGAACGCGTTGTTTACGAGAAGCTCTGCGCCTACTTATATTGTAACAAAATTATTCCATCTAAACAATCTGGATTTCGACATGGTCATAATACATCTTCGGTACTGTGTGATTTAACAGACAATATAACAATGGCACTTGATAACCAAAAAGCAGTAGCTCTCATACTTCTTGACTTTACTAAAGCATTTGACACCATTAATCACTCACTTCTTGTATCTAAATGCAGTTGCTAGTTTCTGAAAAACCTCTTTCGTTTATTCAAACCTACCTTGAAAACCGGTATCAAAAAGTTCGTCTAAATCAACAGTACTCTACGGAACAAAAAATTTGTTCTGGTGTACCACAGGGATCAGTCTTAGGACCGCTATTATTTTCATTATATATTTCAAATTTAGAAACAGAGGTAAAATCATGCAGCATACAATTTTTTGCAGATGATACTCAAATTTTCTATTCATTTAGGAGTAATGACTTGGAAACGGCAAATAATAAAATTAATCAAGATCTTGTCCAAATTGAAAAGTTCAGTAGTAGTCATAATCTTCGTTTGAACCCTTTGAAGACAAATATGTTAGTATACGCAAATAGAACAAAAAAGAATACCTTAAAAAAGGACATAGACATACATTTAAAGGGTAATAAATTAATTCCTGTGGATAATTCGAAAAACCTAGGTATTATAATGGATGATGACTTAAAATTTGTTGCACACGTGAACTATCTAATTACTCAGTGCTACGCTATTCTCAGAGTTTTATTTAAAAATAAGGCTAAATTACATAAATCTGCGAGAAAGCAATTGTGTGAATATTTCGTATTTTCAAAGATATCGTATTGTTTAGTGGTTTACTATCCCTATTTAGATATTATAACAAGAAATCGTATTCAAAGTATTATGAATACATGTTGCAGGCTTGTAAATGATCTCAGAAAATATGATCATATATCGAATGCCATTAATGAACTCAAATGGATGAAAATTGTATATGTACCAGCTCCTAAATCTGACTCACAAGGTTCTTTATTCAAAAACATCGTCATATTTAGTAAACAAATTCATACGTAGAGGGAATCTGCATCGTATTAATATTAGATATAGAGAGACTTTTTCAATTCCACGCCACAGCACGTCTCTATTTCAGAATTCATACATTTACAATGCGATCAAATCATATAATTCTTTAGACCGCAGTTTAAAAGAAACCAATCCATTATCCAAATTCAAGAAAAAAGTGAAAGAAGTTCTTCTTGATCAGCAGCGAAATCGGTTGTAACCCATAAGTGTCCTCATATGTTCCTTATGTATTTACTTGGATTATTCGTTATTGTATACAGGTGCCTATTACTTTTCAACAAATTCTTTTTTCTTTTTTTTTACATCTAGTATTGTTGAGGGGGTTAGATGGTAGAATAGATATATAATCTAAATCTCGCCTCCTGTAAGAATATAACAAATAAAAGACGTTAATTATTATTATTATTATTAATATCCAATAATATTTTTAGGTGAAGGTTATTTGAACATTCTTCGGAATTTAGAAAACAATTACTTCGATAATTTACCACTTGCTGATCATCGAAATGTCTATCAACATGACGGTGCCCCACCCCATAACGGATACTTAATAAACAACTTCTTAGAAGCTGCGGTTTACGATCAATGGTTTGCTAATAATGGACCATTCAAGTGGCCGCCAGATCTAACAGTGTTGGACTGTTTTATATGGGGGACAATAAAAAATATTGTTTACCAGAACCCACTGACCACTCTAGATGACTGTAAGCAGAGAGTAAGAAATGCATTTGCTAGTTTGAGTCCGGAAATCATAAGAACTGCCACTCATCAGGAGTTAATACGTAGATGTTTTAAATCTTTGGAAGTTAGGGGTGGTCATTTTGAACATTTACCAAAATAAGTTGTTTCTTGTTATGTTTTAATTTTGTTTTGCAATAGTATGAAAGTTAAATTTAATTCGAAATAACTTATTGTTTCCTGATATTCATTTCACTGTGTGTGTGCTTGTTTGGAAATCTACCAGCAAACTTATCATAATAATTAGTCTTCATATTATTCTGATTACGAATACATGAAAATTATTAATTATATTATTATTGAAAGCTTAAAATTAGACGTAGTGATATTTCTGTAGTGCTCAATTGTTTATTCTCTGCGTCTCGCCGTCATAGCCAAATAATTAAAAAACTAAATCTGTACTTATAGGAGTTTTACAATAGAAAAGTAATAAATTGCAAATTACTACAAGTAAACATTTTTGGGATAGGTAACGCTGTATAAAGCTACGCTAATTTTGAACGCTTGATGCGATAAACTTATAAAAAAGGGGGGTTTTCATTTGAAAAAATAGACTTATGGCAATTTTTGACATTCAATCTTTATACTAATTTTTTGACCACCCTGTATAAATAATTATCGAAATATCATACAAAGTCTATTAAACTATATCCCTGTTTACCAGAAAATCAGTCCACATTGAACAATAAGGTGTTCTACATAGGGAAAATGAACAATTATTTTAGAGTTTGCAAACGTCATTTTTGAGATAAAATTTGAAATATGTCAAAATCGGTTAGACTTGGGTATAAGACATTATACATAAAATGTGATTAGAATTTTATGTAGAATTCGAATATTGGGTAATATACAGGGTGTCCAATTTAAAATAAGCAAGTTGGCATCCACTACCGGCATAACCGGAAGTGCAACCATCTTGCAAATATTTTAGCTGCCGTTGCCCCATCGAGAAATCTATCGATGGAGTTCCCGATGCGACACACTGTATAGTTGGCTACACCGCCACCTATGAGACGCCAACTTTTTCAAACTACATTTCTGATTACTGCAGACAGAAGAAAGATAGCTGTGACAAACTCTCATAGATGACGGCTACGGTATCTCATTCAATCTCAGATAATCTTTTGGACGCCCGAATTTAGTATTAGGTTAGCTATTTTCTTGTAGAATACGTTAATCAACGATTTTACTAAACTAAGGTCTAGTAAAATTAAAAAGAAACACTCCTCCCAGCGCCTATTACTATTTGTTTGAGAAGAAAAAGCGTAACATACGTGAACACATTAACATCAGGGAGATGATGTTAATTAAAATGCTAATAAATGGGGTAGAGAGGCGTTTCCAGAGCAGATGAGCTTGATGATAAATTAGTTCTGGGACTGACATTCCGATACATGTGACACCGTAAATGGATCAGATTGATTGAGGCAAAAAACCACGTCTCTCCTGATAGCCTATTCAAACTGAAATCCAACTGTTTAGGAATTCCTTCTTCGTGAGCCGAAAAAACAACCATTATATGAAACAACTTTTTGTTAAACAAGTACAAAGTGTCGAGTAATTATTCTTAGCACATTGCGCAACACTTGGGGTTTCATTGCGGCTTTTACAGGTTAGGCGAGATGTGCACACAATCTAATACAAAGCAAATTTTCCAAAACATTTCTTATTTGGTAAAATTAGACTTAAGTTCAAAATAGCTAGCCACCTCTAGCTAGAATGTATTGTTGTATGTATCAAAATTGTTCGCCATTTCAACGAAACTGTTTTCTGCGGAAGTATTGTGAAATTCCCAAATTTCGATATCATATAATTGCATTATGTTTGTTGGATGTTATCATCATCATCATATCATTCCGTCGGTCAATCTGCCCGTCTGTTGCCTATTGTTCATTTTATGTGGCATGCCAAGCTTAACTTGCAATGCACTGCTCGGATGTTGATGAAATTTGCCTCGCCTTTTTTATGTCTCAATTAATAAACTGGTAAATTACTATAAATGAAATCTAAGGATCAGCCAGTGCAAAACATTTGTCTACAGTATATTCAGATAAGAGATACACCGGACATAAACAAGACCACGTGATCATCGAACGCTCTAACATTCGGCAGGGACGTATTAAGAGTCACGCAGTACATATTTTAGATAGTAGATGCTGCTTTGCGTAACTTTGTAGTAAATTAGCACAATTCGATGTGTATACGATTGGTGATGGATATAGGATCATGTGGGGGTGGGGTAAGAAATATATAATGATGTAAATATACATAAGGGTTTCAAAATTTTCGCTTCGATTTCCAGCTTCGGATGCCGCCTGATGTTTGGTGAAATACAGTCGAATATAATCTCAAAATGGCGTTTAAATTAGCCTAAATTAAAAATAATCGTATATCTCTTAAAATTGCTTTTAGAATATTGATTAGTATATTTTTTGATTTCTAGGTAAATATGTAACCAAATTAAAACGTTCAAAACGTAAAAAAATGTGCATGGTTGAACATTGTCAGAAAGTAGAT